GGCCGAAGCGGGAAATTTAAAGCTTGATTTCAGGGCAAAAAAAGCATCGGAATTCATTTTTCTGATTTGAATACGGTTTTAGATGTTATAGAGATACTAAAATCACAAAAACCCTGTAGGCCTTATGGACACTTTAATGACACAAAACACAGCTTCCTTTTTGCTTGAAGCTCTTGTAATAAAAGTATGTTATCATTAGTGCTACTGTCATTGCTGCCACTGTTTAATTTTTATTCCGAAGTTTAGTGAGCTTCTCAAATCGTTATCAATCAGATCGAAAAGTGAAAGGCGCCATGTACAGACAGGCAACACGATGATGGAAGGAAAAGTGGATTTGTTATTATAAATATCATTACGATTGAACGACTATTTGATATGGTATTTACACGAGAGAGAAAGGTATAAAACGTCAAAGGATAAGAAAAAGGGGAAGTGTCTTCTTCACACCTTCTTGTATAAGCGAAAGCTATATTTTTTGAGTATAAGACAAACGTTTACATTTTTTTTCACCTTCTTGATCATTTGAAATAAGGAGTGAAGAATGGATTGTGGACAAGTCATGCTGTATCCAGCCATTCAGATGTTCAGGCGGTCTCAGAACATACACACTCAGTTCTTTCTCAGTATTTCCACATATAAGACACACACGCCTGCATGACTCTCTGTCATTTTCTCCAGCTTTAGAATCCACTTTGTTGGCAGCTGAAATGATTCCATAGGAGGCAATCAAATAAAGATAATTTATTTAAAAAAACATAAATAAATAACAAATAAGAGACAACCAAAGGCCGAACCTTCATAAACTGATATCCCCCAGGGCACGCTCAATTTTTCCTCCGGAAAGATGACGGCTGCGATTCGACTAGAAGAAATTCTACTTTGTTGAAATACAGTAACTCCACAAAGACCTGTCTAGTGTCTTTGTTGGGTTCTTGCTGGGTTTGAAATTTTCAGGTGCAAGTATCAACCAATCAGACACGGATCTCTGCGGTACTACGTCATCAGAATGGAATGTTTTAGTTTCAATGTCATCAGGCGATGCCTCGTTCCCTGGATCTCTCTTCCTCCTGCCCCTCCAGCTCACGCGTATGAGAAGAAGAGATGGGAAGGAGGTTGTATTGGGCGTCTCTCGAGTGGAGGAAGAATGACCATGCAAGGAAAGATGCCTGTTTACACGGGCAAAACATATAGAATAAAGTTGTTTCTGACCCCTGTTCCAGAGAGAGGTTCAGTGTCATTTAGTTTGGGATAGTAAAAGCCAAACATTTGTCCTGAAGGCTTCTGGTCTGTCCCTCATAATCCATGGTAATTTTCCTCCAATGTTGGCATTCTCATTTTGTTTTGGTTTATTGATTCTACTTAAGGATAATGTTCTTCTACCTTTTTAATCTATTATTTTGGGGCTTCCATCAATTTTGAATTTTATCTTGTTCATCGCAGAAGGGCTTAGCATGTTGTGTTATATATAGCTGTTTTCATTAGGCCATCCCCTCTTTTTTTCGTTTATTGTCGAATGCATTTTCTGAGTTTGGATCGGTCGGTCGGAAAAGGAAAAAAAAACACAAATAAAATATTAATTGGAAAAGGAGTCTGGAGCTAGGAGGCCCGGTACCTCAGCATAATATCCGTGGAGCCTGGAAACAATAAGGTGTGGTTACAAAGTCAACACCGCGGCAATTGAGGCATGAAAAAGTCGACGTCGTTAAAATCAAACGAGAACAGGGAAAAACTAAAAATCTGTAAGGTAAAAAATTGCTTATGTTTCAGATTAAAGTGACAACTGTTTGAAATAATGAGTCATTGCCTTCATTGCCTTCTGTGTAACTTTTTTTTTTTTTTTGAAAACGCGAAAATCTGGGTCGGTCGGACGACGCTAAACAGAGAAAAAAAAGGGGATGGCCAAACAGACAAACAAACAAACAAACAAAAACTAGAAAGGAGTTAAGTTTACTGAAAAACCGTGGTGCTTTTTCGACTTAATATGCTGTCAATGTGCGTGAACAAGTCTTTCGGGTCGCCCCAAAATGTAACTGAGATGTTTGTAATGCCTATTGCCATATACAGCAAGCTTACATTTACCAGGGTCCTGATCAACTCACCTATTTCTGAACACATCATAGACATTAATAATGCACCTGAATAATGTATTTCCAAATTTTCAAAACGGGCCAGACTTAAAGTCGCGAGACTTGATAGAATTAATAAAGAAATGATTTTGTGCAATGAAAGTTAGCTAAGCAAATCAGCTCGACTTTGTGGGGGGTTGGGAAAGTGGGGAGGGGTTAGTTGATGTACGACAAACGTAGGCGATGTGGGCGACAAACGTAAATTCAGCGCAACGACCATCTACAGCAACAACTGTCGTCGCTCCGATCCGCTGTTCTGTTTGGTCTTCGAAGATGTAATCTAGTAGTTCCGTGGGAGCGAAACCAAAAGCATTGAATACGCCTTTTGATATACCAAATAAAAGGAATTCCATAATGTAAAGAAAAGCCGCTATGTCTGAAGTCTATTGTAAACCAAGTTGACTGACAGGTATTGCACATCCAGATTAAGGCAGCTTACCGAAACACCAGATTTTGTGACATCTTAGGGTTTATGCATGTCATTTGGTAGGTATGCGTTTAAACCATTTTAATCTATTGAACAGAACAATTTTGAGGACTCGTGCTTTACAAACGAACGAAAATTATAATAATTGTATAAATGGGTATAAATTAGGACAACGTGCAAAGGTAATAAAAATTCATCTTGAGGGACCCGCTGTGTGCCATTTTAGGCAGACTTCATGCCAAAAGTGTATGTAAAATGTAAAAAGATGGAAATCAGTGCATTTGATTACCAATAATAGTTTAAAAGGAATATATGTTAATGGCATATATACACTTCTGGCAATTTCAGGCCCGTCCGCTAAAAGCTCTAAAAAGACAGATGGGAGCTACTTAAAATATAAATCGGATTGTTCGATTCCAAGCACTTCTGAAAACAAAATAGCAACTGGTTAATTAATGATGCGTATCAACATGATCAACAGAAACTCGCTTGGGTTCTTGGTGTCAATTAACCTTTCTGTTTTCAATTGACGCATGAGTTCAGTGCGCAGTGGTGCGAACGAAACAAGGAACTCAATTTGACTTTATCTGCTGCAGCACGGACAAGTTTAATTATGAACCGAAGCATAACCGGAAAAGTTATGGACGATTCAATCTTTCTCGGAGGCATAAAGCCAATTCAACCGAAAGGAAGAAATAAGCGCATTGTGTTGGGTTTTGCGTTCGTCGCCGTTGCCCTATTTCTTGTTGGCTTCTTAATCGGTTACTTCGTCAAGCAACCTGGAAACAAGCCCTGCAGTCGAGCGACTACGGCTGGTGACAAGTCGAACGAGTTCGAAGAGTTCCACGAGTTGTTTATGGAAACAATCAATGCTGAGAGGTTGGAATCTGTTATTAGGTATGACAAACTAATATGATATCATTATGCAAATAGTTAGAGGTTGTAGCAGAATTCCTACCAAGAGTCTATTATTGGACTTAAAACAGTTCATTTGCAATGTCGTTACCAGTTTATACCTGCATGGTGGAAATAAACGGCAGACAAATGTATATCATACTTTGAAAATAACATGCATGAACTGTGCTTTGTTCTTGTTATGCTAGTGAGAGCCATAAAAGCAGTCTAAGCTTTGTTTATGTTTTATTGTCTTGTTATCTGTTCAAAGTGTTTTATGGTCACAGAGATAAAAACTCGTGTTTCTTTGACGGTCTGTCAAGGTTGACTTTCCACGACTGGAGTATTTTAATACTAACGGAAACGATAATGTAGCAGTGTGTGCCTTGTTGCCATAGACCAGTTGAGTTAGGGGCTCGCGGCTACGTTTCGTTTGAGTTGTACAAATATTCTCTCATTCAGATAAAGATCGCAAAGACATGCAGCGCGACATGTTTCATATTTTCTTATCGCGGTATTTCTGGCCAAGGGCCGTGTAATATGAAACAGATCGAAGCAAGGAAAAAGGGATTGGTCTCAAGTAAAATGTCTACTCCGTTCTCAGTTTATCCGGCACTCAGGGCCACATTGTAATTATCAGTGCGAAGAATTTAGATAGTCTAAAACATTCGTTCGCAATAACTCCTGTTTTTCAAACTACTAGTGCAGTGCGTATAGTGTGAACGCACATGGGCAGTTCTTAGGGCCCTGGCATCGGCTTAGGAGGGTTATCCGATCCCATGGCATTGGCTCAAGATTAGATGTTCGTTTTCGAGGTCGAGGCATCCGACCACTGTCATCCTAATGCATTCCCTGCAAGACACAAGGATTCTCTTGATTCTCTTTCATCTCTCGGAGAGAGATGAGAGAGAACCTCTGCTCGTAGCCGCTCGGTTTCCTATGTGTGATACTATATAATAGGCAATTTTCAATTTGCCGTTGGCCACGGAACCTCCCTTACTCGCTGTTAGCCTGTTATAGTTAAAATACGAAAAAGTAACTAGAAGCCGCAGAGAACAGAAAAAAATTGTCCTGGAAAAAAATCGCTGTTGCGAGGAAATATGTGCATGGCTATCCGTCGCAGCTATTAATTATGAGTTCAATCGATACAAGTCAAGTGTATGGAACGCCAGAACTGTCTTATGATACTTTTTTTTATTATATTGGGTGGTTATGTCATTATATTGTTCGGTCAAACAGTGAAGAACTAACAAGGTTTAGAACAGCAGCCGACACTGCTTTTCAAAACAGACCTTTTATGCAATCGTATGCAGCAAAAAAACGTGTTGTTCTCTGAAACATACTCGTTTGATCGCAATCTGCCTTTTGACTTTATGTACAGTTCTGGCGTTCCATACAAGTGGATGTTATGTCGATCAACAAGTCGATTGTTATTCAGCACGCATGCGTGCTCAGTCATGCGCGATCATGAAATGCAGATATACAAAAATACCGATTTATCGAGTGATTAATCAAACAAACTAAACTTATTAGGTATTTGAGAAAGTCCATGCACCATGGTGCTCATGGTCACTACTATATCTTTATTGTTCAAGGAATTTCACAAGACCGTTCCACGGTACAATGACCGGCTAGCTAGCTCAGCAGTTTTCAGTTTTTGGCTATTATTAACGCGGTGTCTAAAAACAGATTGGATTCCGCGGATCAATTTTTATTTTCAGACTGCATGACTGCATGATGTGCGCTTTCAAGTTTTTATAGTAGGGAGTTGCTGTTCTTAGACATGTAGAAATGTTTTGCATCAGAACTCATCTCGCAAAGGAGATAATTAAAACGTCACTGTTTGAATTGGGATGACTAACATGGCCGCAAAAGAACAGTGTACGATGTACCCCGTGTTGTTAGGAGTTCCGGAAGTTGTTGAAATGTTAAGCTGTAAAGAAGAGGCTTTTAAACTGGAGTTTGAAGGCTTCTTAGTAAAATTGTATTTTAACCGCGAAACCTGTTTTTATAGGGAATTTTCTAAACAGCCTCACATCGCTGGATCGCCGAGGCAGCGCGAACTTGCAAATAAACTTGCTGCAAACTGGACAGCGTTTGGATTTGACAAAGTAGAAAAACCCCAGTACCAAGTCCTCCTGTCTTTTCCACAACCCGACAAACCCAACAGGGTCACCATAGTGGAGAGCGATAAAGTTATCTACGACATAACAGGAAAAATAAAGGTCTGTAGATTGAGGTGTTTAGTAAAAAAAATCCCAGTGCTTTTAAAGCCCAGTTCGATCGGAAATTCAAAGGCGACAAGTTTGTCAGTTGCAAAAATGTCAACTGCTACCCTCGGCCCCGGCAAACAAAGTTGTTTGAATGTCTTTTAAGTACTAAGGTTAATGAATGACATCGCAATTTCTTTTTTATGTTCATTTCATGTTTCATATCACCATAGTTAAATCATATATAGCTATTCCTACGACACGCGGCAATGCCAAAAGGTATTTATGTGCTCTAGAAGTACCTGAGGTAAAGTTACCAATTTTACAGTGCGTTAGAGTTGTGACCAATTTGAAAAGGGGTGGGGGGCGGGGAGGGGTTGCTTCGTGAAACAAGAAAAGGGTATATATAAGGTGCTACAAGTGGGAGGCGCGGTGGCCTCATGGTTAGTGCGCTCGTCTCCGGATCGAGCGGTCTGGGTTCGAGCCCTGGCCGGGGACATTGTGTTGCGTTCTTATGCAAGACACTTTACTCTCACAGTGCCTCTCTCCACCCAGGTGTATAAATGGGTACCGGCGAACTTAATGCTGGGGGTAACCCTGCGATGGACTAGCAT